TTGCGATTATAGGACCAATATTTGGCTTTCTTTTAGGTTCCCTGTGTGCCAAGCTATATGTTGACATAGGCTTTGTGGACTTGGGTAAGTTAGAAAATTGTATTTAAAAATTGTTACCTCTACTTATTTCACTAAAGGATCTTGAACTTTTCAAAGCTAATAATATGGATGATGTAGAAACAGGTTTCTCTGAAGTGCTCGATGGTGGTTTTGAACTGAAAAACATATTTCTAGAATAAGGAGGAGTTCTCTTTCTCATTATCATAGAATTCGTTAGTAGTCTATCATGAGTTCAGCACAACTGTACCATCACAAACATGCATCTGCTCTCCATATATATTTTCTCAGGCAGTCAGATTTTAAAGTATTGTCAAAGTAAGATCTGAGGCCTCATTTATGTAGAAGGGGTTGAATGTGATGCAGGGTATTTCTCACGAACAGCCACAAGTATTAGCCTCTGACCCATTTAAAGATACTAGGTAAGTAGTGGTAGTTGAAAAGGTTAATTTTTTTTTTCTGCCCAAGGAAAACAGCGCCACCTCCTCCCCCCAGAACCAGAAGCTGGAAAACTTTTGCACTATGTTTGAGATTTTGGTTTTCTGATTAAAAAAGACAAATTTAGCTGAAATATAAATTTTACATCATTTGAAAGAAAATGTTTGACTATTTTTAAGTGAAATCTTAAAATAATTGAAAATTCTGAATGCATATGAGGGGCAGCACTACATGAATAACTACATAGCAATAGTATTATTATTGTTACTGTTATAGTTTGAAACATTTATTTAATTTTATGTTGCCATATCATTGGCCTGATCCTGTTTGTTACTAATGACCTGAGGTTTCAACTTCTGAAACACAGTGCTTCTGAAACACTGATAGAAATGTCTGGCAGGATGGCATAGTTTTAAATGCTGCTGGGTTTTTTTTCTTTTGTTATGCTAGAGAAAATGGAGCACCATGGAACTTTTGGACTTATTGATTATAATTATACTAAACAAAACAGAGTTAAACAGAAATGCCATAAATAAAATGAAAGAAAAACTCCCAGTGGCAACTTTACAGTCATGGCCTTTGAGTGGTGGTGGTAGTTGCTAAAGAAAGGCGCATAATCCACAGCTGGCAGAAAGTTACTAGGTGGGAGCAGAAACAGTAATTGGAGAAAAAGGGTGGTTGGCTTCTGGTTGGCTTCTGTTGATGAAATAAGTCTCCACTGGAGATGTACCTGCCAAAAGTATGTCTTTGTTCCTATCAAAAAACTAAACATGCAAATATAGCCCTCTTTTTTCTTTTCTCCTCCTAGATAGTATAACAATAACCCCCAAAGATGCCCAGTGGGTAGGAGCTTGGTGGCTCGGTTATTTAGTAGCTGGTATAATAAGTATTCTGGCTGCCATCCCATTCTGGTTCTTACCGAAGCACCTATCCAGACCAGAAAGCAGAAAGGATTCCAATACCTCTTCTGAACAGTCAAAGTTCATCACTGAAGATAACAGGGAGCATCACAAACCTTATACACAGCAACTGAAGATAGTGGAAATGGCAAAGGGCAAGTAAACATAGTTTGTTTTACAAATATCTAGTTGTGCACTTTTACCTTATAGGCCTTCATGCTGTTTAATGACTTCAGCATTGATTTTGGTATAGTGCCATCCTACATGTAGCCAATGTGAATAAAAGGACTCTTCTAGCTATTTCCAAAACCTGTCCTAAAAAAGAAATTTTGTAGATGAGGTTCATAAGTGGGGACAAAAGCTTTAGGGGAGAAAGTCCAAAAAGGTTAGATCTTTCCCTGTAGAATTATGACAGGTATCCTACCCAAAGAAAAAAGAACCGGTGGCAGTGGAAGATTTAAAAAGTCTGCACATCCCAGCCATATATCCTGAGTTGAATAGCAACAGCCATTTCTAGTGTTCCAAAAATTTTTTTTAAAAGAATTGGCCTCCATTCCTGTGAGCATTCCCAAGCTGAGTAAAACACCAACAGGAAAATTCATGAGTTTGGCATTGGCTTAAATAGAAAGATGAGGCACACCTATTTCAGTTTAATTAACGCATTTCTCTCTAATTTCTAAGCAGTTGCCAGCTAGTTGGCAAGAGAATTTCCAGTCATTCAGTGGAGTCAGCTGGTATTGTGGATTGAAATAGTCCTGGGAATATTACAGGATTCTGGCTATTCAGAGATGGAAACACTCTGGCCTCTCTCTATTTAAAAAATGCATGCACATGCAACATTCATGGACTATAATGTGTTCATCTCCTGTGCATTAAGGTTATATACAAGAAAAGATATAATAAGCCAGGGTCTAAATTAAATGTTTCTATTTCTGGCTGGACAGAATGAAGCAGAGGTGAAAAACCTGATTGGATACAGAAAGATTTCTTTATGTATTTTATTAATGGGCATGCTTAACCCTCATTCATTCTCATGAAACCGTAACCATTGTTGTTCTCATGGGGTAACTTGTTACCCCATCCGCATGAACAAAATGGAACCAGCGACAATAGTATAAATGTACCAAAAACTATTTATTAAGCATACAGATTGTTTGAAAAAGTATTTATGATTATTTGAAGCCAAAATATTATTTAACTAGAACTATGAACAAAAACGTTCTTTAGAGTTTCAAAATGTGAATGAGCAATTTGCTAAGTCTTCAGTTCACACCATTTTCAAACTAACAATTACTTCCAAAAAAATTTCCTAACTGTTTTAACTAAATATTGCATTCCTCACAAAGCAGCAGTGATGTACTGTGGTGCACACAAGCAAATCACTTACAATCTTCACATCGTTTACAGGTTTTGTGGTCATCTGTCCTTGGACAGAAAGCACAATGTCCACTCATGTTTGCAGAAGGGTCTATTGGGGTGTGTTGTGGGAATTTGTAATTTAGGGCAGTCATACCAGGCTTGACAGACAGACAGATGATGTGTATCCACCATTCTTTGTTTTATTTGTCCACTGTTCTCCAAGCTCCTGAAAAAAAAGTGCCATCTTCTTAAATATGATCTTTGCTTCTAGCTTGCATTGTAGCCTAGCCAGATGATGAGGCTGGCAATGGCAGCCACATCCAGCATATTGAAAAATAATCTCATTGGCCACCTGTTGATTTTCTGTCTGCAGGTGGTCATACAAACTAAGTGGTCAAGGTTATCCACCCCACCCTTGTTTTTACTGTAGTCATTGATGATGTCTGGCTTTCTTTGCTCTCCACCCACTGACAGGTCATGGTTACATGCTTGACAGCAACAGCACAACTTTGGACTTCTTTGGAGTATAGGAAACTAGGGTGAGTTCCCCATCAAAAGCAAAACTGGATGAAAACATTTTCCTTCTTGCATTTTGTTTGGGATATCAACCTTGTTTTTTCCGAATCGTACCCACATAGGTCAAGTCCTGGTGTAGCAGTATAGGCGGAGGAAGAAAAAAAAAATTGGGGGGGGGGCTGAGCATGTAAGCATCCCCCCAAAGTCTGTGGGTAAGGGGCGGGGAGAAGCGGGGGAGGGAGTGAGGCTGGGGCTGGGATCGGGGTTGGGGCCTGCTGCACCTGTGTAGCAACCCCTTCCCTCATGCCAGGGGTCATTGCCCAGTGCTAATATCCATGCCCCCCAGCCCCACACCCTCCCTGGCTGCCTCTCCACACTGGCCCTGGCCCAGCCCCAGTCCCACACCACACCACCTGGGGGGGGCCAGTACTCAAGAGGGGCCAGCCTCAGCTACACTGCTGGGCCAGAGGGGATGAAGACCCCAGGACACCCACTCCCACCCTGCCCCAAGAAGAGTCTGGTGGCTCCTGCAGAGCTGTAGCGCCATGAAACTGATCTTTGTATGGGCAAGGGCAGGCTACAGCTTCACTCTGCCTGCTCCCTGCCTCTGTGTGTCACTGCAGCCTTTAAAAGCAGCACAGCACCATGTGCATCCTGCTGCTCAGTGGGCCAGGCAGTGAGGCACATGGCACCACTTTCAAAGTCTGCAGGGAGGCAGGGAGCAGGCAGAGTGTAGCTACAGCCCACCCTTGCCCTGTGTAGAGATCAGGGTCCACAGCCAATTCCACCCCCGCACCTTCACTACCCTGCGCCATGGTTCTGGATGAGCTGCCAGACTCTGATTGTCCCACAACCTGGCCGGGACCCCATTCACCATGAATGGGGCCCCAGCTGGGCTGGTTGTGGTGCAATGGGAGCCCAGCAGCTCATCCAGGGGTGTGGCACAGAGGAGGGAAATGTGCCTTCTTCCCCAGCTCCCCCACACTGTGTGCAGTGGTATGACCTGCCCACACCCCTGGATGAGCCACCAGGCTCCCATTGCCCAACAACCTGCCCAGCCCCTACTCTGCTCCCTCTTGCACTGTTGGGGTCTTGAAGCTATCGACTTTTTTCCCATACTCTGCGATTCCTTCCTCTAAAGGTGTCATCATCTGCTATGTTTTCTAGGGGTGGTGGCACTGGTTCTGCTCCATGTCCTGCTGTAGTTCACCTCAGTCTTCCATAGCAGCCCCGGGCTGTTCCTCTTCCCTTTCCCACTGGAAGTGTTGGCATCACTTACCTTTGTGGTACCAACTACTCCTCATCTGAGCTGGATGAGACTTCCATAGACACATGGTCTTCTTGCGCTGAACAATCTCTCACGTCTGGAACAAAGTCAGCATCCTCACTGCCTTGGAATAAGATTTCATCAGTGGATGTGTTGCTGTCATCCCCTGTTACCTGTGCAAGGCAGGCTTCAGCACTGAATATGTGCTGCCTTCTCATCCTGGACTGCAGGAAAAAAAAAAAGAAAAAATTGATTACTGCTGAATGCATATAGATAACAGTTAAAGACAAGCCCATCCACCTATGCTGTCACAAGCAATTCTGCCCTGCCCTATGGCAGTGCAGGTAGCACCTTCTCTTCCTGGGCACAGAAGTCAGAGACCAGCATCCACCTTTTGCAGGAAAGCCAAATGTTGGTGGGTGCTGTTTGGAAATCACACATGAAGGGGCTTATTGAGATCAGGTAAAAGGGGCATGGAAGTTGTTGAGCCCTTACTGTTGAAGGGGACTCCACAGTGTACACTCTATTGCAGTGTGATGTTGTTCTATTTCTTCTCCGCTGTCTCTTTACTTCTTGTCCTCACTTCCACAAAGTCAGGGCAAACTAGCTTGTATGTTATGAAAGGGGCAGGTGAGGCGGAGTTTTGCCATGAGAAAAGAGAGCACAGTTGCATTTGGGTGTGACAAAGGGTTTGGGGGATTTTTTTGGCAAAGGGCAGGGTGTTTTGATGACCTTGCAGCTTGCAAACAAAATGGATAGCAAAAGGGATTACCACATCTTCTGCAAAAGCAGAGTGCAGGATGGCCATCCATTAGTTACCATGGATACCTGAAGTGGACATGAATGAGGTGTGAATGAAAGCTGACCTTTCAGATGCATCCACCCGAAGTGGCCAAACAGGTCTATGCCTGTCATTTATACAGAAATTGCACTGGGGTAACATGTTACCCTGGGCAGTTTTTCATCCACAGAGACCAAACCATTCATGTAAGCTGGCTGTTCTTTGGGGATATTGTGCACTGTGGTACCAGTGACAATGTCCTAAAAGGAATTTTTTTTAGAATTAATTAACTTTAAGATACTGCACACAATAGGCATCTGGGTAGGGAATTACCCCTTGGGAATGTATGAAGGTTAAGGTTGTGGATAGAAATATGAAAATATCTTAATAAGCACAGGGTGTTTGTTTTCAACATACCCCAGAACAGAAAGAGATGGAAATTAACAAATCTTAGTTTGAGTAATTTCCAGGCTGTAGTCTTCTGTGCCGTCCACCTGTGCGCTAAGTATGTGAGGTCCTCTCTGACTTCGCCATCGCTTTAGGGAAGAAATGGGTCCGTTAGTAGAGGGACTTTGGTCAGTCTCCCAAGGGCTCTCTCCTGCCACATCTTTGATGGAAAAATAATTTTAATTGAGAGCAAGATGGTCTGTCCCATCCCTCTTGGTGCCTTCTTTTGGTCATTCCAGTTGTTATTCCTGCTTGGGGCTCCGCCTCCCCTACACCCCACCTAATGCCATCTAAAGATGTCATCACCTGAACTGTCAGAATTTGTATATTGTGCACCTTGGTGCTTCGGCCCTTTAAATTTATGGCAGAAGGATCAGGACATTGTTTGGCCCAAGCGCTCCCTACTGCCCCTTTGCCTCATCTATGTGTCTTCCTGATCCGATGCCATCCTGTTCCCTGGCATCTCGTTCCCTACTTGGGCTCTGTACTTGTCATGGGTCAGTCGTTGTGGTCCTACTTGATCCTGCCAGGATCCCGTCCACACTGTGGATGTTCGGTATCCATGAGGACTCAGTAGGTATGTCCTTGGGCCCTCTCTGGCCCTGAATCCTTGGAAAAGCCCCTTCCTGGGGCAGCCACCAGGTCCCTGCACTGGGACCAGGTTCCAGATCTGGCCCCTCCAGGCCAGTCATAGACCTAACTTCTGGTCCTCCCGTCTGGTCTCCTGCCGGGCCTTTTATCTCAGCTCCAGGGGTCCGGCCAACCAATCAGCCTCGGCACACTGCCACAAAGTGCGCCCATGACAACACGGGAGCTGGTCCCAGCTCCTTCCGGCTCTGCTGGGTTTTTTTTCTCTTTTCTTTTTACCGCGGCATCTACACCCGCCGCACTTTCACTTTTGCCACACTCTGTTTCCAGTGCAGTGACCCGCTGGCTCCACTCCTCACCCAGCAGAGGTAAGCCTTTTCCACACAGGCCTATTTCAAACCTAGAATTTCAGATTAGCTGAAATCCAGGCCCCCAGCCACAAAGGCATGTAGGCTAATGACTCCTGTTTAAATCTGTGGGAGTTTAGGCACCAAAAGGTTCTGTATAAATGCGTGTGGGGTCTTTTTTTTTATCTGCCACTTATTCTTCAGTCCTCTGAAAATACTGCTTTCACAGAATCCTGGTGTTGAAGGCATGTGATTCAGTCACATCAGTGATCACAGACACTAGCTGGAAGCTCTTCTTCCCTCTAAGTTTTATTCATTTCTAAAATATACACCAAAACTGAACAAAGCAAGAATGGAGAAAGATCTAGTTAAACCAAAGGGTGGGGACCCAGGATATCTGGTTTCTGGTCCCACTTGTTTCAAGAGTTGTGTTTCCTTGGCCTTAGTTTTTCGAGCATGGTCACTACCTCAGTATTTGAATACTCAGTTTTACTCGCATATGGCCTGATTTTTAGAAATGATGGCACTCACACCTCAAAACTAAAACCAATGGGAACTGTTAATGTTCTCTATATATGTAAACTGAGCTCTTTGTTATTGAAAGCTGGATGCCAGAAAAGCAAGGTACATGAAGTAACATGACATTTCTGCAAATACTGCTCTTAATGAATTTGTTCTTTTGAATCTTTATAAAGCATTTTGTCATCAGTGGAAAACTCTACTCAAATTGCAAAATATGATTCATGTTATCAATTCTGTTTCCAGTTTGTTTTCACTAATACTTGCATTATTCTGTTTTGCAGATTTTCTTCCATCACTGAAGAACCTCTTTGGAAATCCAGTATACTTTCTGTATTTGTGTGCAAGCATCATTCAGTTCAATTCTTTAATTGGTATGGTGACATATAAACCAAAATATATTGAGCAACAGTATGGGCAATCATCTTCAAAAACTAATTTTGTCATAGGTATGTTCTGTTTGCTTCTCAGTTCTTTAAAAAAGAGAAACCTTTAGAATTGACTTTCAGATGTCCTTGCTGACTGGAAGAAATGCTTCCTAAGATTATTCTTTCCATCCATCCTTATAGGATTTTAAATGGATAGTGAACTTGTCTTGTTAGCTCTGGTAGCATTTAATTAACACTGAGTTTAATAGTATAAGTGTATGCTGCAAAGAATTCTGGGACTTGATACCTGTGTTCCAGAAACTATAAAAGAATATACTTGTAAATCAGAAGAAAACAACTTAAAACATTAATTTAAGAATAATTTACATATGTAACTATAAAGAATTGTTCATTTGTTAATTTCCCATTTATTTCAACAAAATGAATATTATTTCACCAAGTGCTTTAGGGTCCCAAATATAGATTATTTGTGTTATTGTCAACAGCCTTTCCAAAATTTCTGAAGAGATTAATTAAATAACATTGTCCTCAATAAAGGGAGGGAGATAAAGCAAACCAATTGAGCATAATATTTATCACAAGTACTACCTACAATAGTTATTAATTGGCATGTTTATGTTAAAGAAATGTTAAAAGGAAAGAACCAGTGACATGGAACTCAGTCATCATAATGCAGCCTACGACAAGGGCTGATGATTTGCTCTTGTACAAGACTCCTGATATCTTTCCAAAGATCAGTTCTGCCCCAGGTGATTCATAGATTAAGGGTCGGAAGGGACCTAGTAGATC